TAAAATGCTCAAGAAGGAGTCATGCAACTAACCTGAACAGTTAGAAATGTGATGCTGATTTTATTATTAATCAGTCCACTTTTCTGGAAGAAAATTCTTCCCTCAGAAATGAAAACAAGTTGCCATTTGTGGCTGTGGATTTCACCTCTATTCTTATGGCGCTCTCCTGTGTTTTTCAGGTTAAGTAGGGGTAGAGGCAGCTTGCAAAATCCTTCTAATTAACTAGTTTTACATTTGGCCTAAAACATATTGTCCTAAATATCTGGTTTGCATGTGCCAGCCAAAGCAACTGCCTGAACAGTCTGTTGAAGTAAGTGCTGGACAGAAAGATCTGTTCTAAAACTTTGCTTAGAAACCACGCAAACGGCGCAGCCATCTTGTGGCATTAATGGCTAGCAGAGATTTGGGATAGTCCCACGTTGCGCTGTCCCAAAGAGGAACCGGGGAGGGCTTTAGGGGGAGGCATTTGTTTAACTGCCAAACATAATCTGATCTGTTATTATTAGTCACATTCTCGTAACGGAGTCTACTATAAATACATGGGCTGGTGGAGTGACACATGTGAAGCGCAAACGGCTGAGCCTCTGCAGGAGGCATGGCCCTCCCCTCCCTCTGAGGGCTGCTGGCAGCGTTGCCTCGCTGGGGCCTCTGGCTCGAAAACGTAATGGGCCAGCGAGGAAAATGGTTCACTGGCTTTTCCCGTCAGCAGCTCGATGGCAGCTAACAAGGACAGAAGGGAAAGGACCAGTAGAGTTGATACACCATAGAACTTACCGTGGTGTACTTCTGAGAAGGGACTGTCCCCTAACACTGACAATTTTTATCCAATGCAATAGTATAAAACTGTGTCTGTGCACAAATTAAAATACCTTATCAATATTTGGTGAAGTGTATCCTTCATAACATACCATGGAGTCTCCTCCACTTGTTATTGGGAATTCTAAATTGTCATGTCCCAGATCCTCCTCTATATAGAGTCTTGTCAGTTCTTCTGCTGTGTCTTGTGCTCCTCCGTAGAAATCTGATTCTGGAGCTTTTGACTGATCCCCTATAGTAACTGACAGATCTGCAGTAGAGTTTTCCTCTTCGTTTTCAGTAGTTGCAGCTAACACTCTGGAGATGGAGCCACCTTCATGTGGTGAAGGGATGTAACTGATAGCGCCAACGTGTTCACCTTCTCCTGTAGCATCTGACAAGTCTGTAGGTACTTCGATAACCAGAGAGTCAAGTATACCTCTCAAGTCTTTATCTTTTCCTGGTTTGGTATCGTTACTGGTATGCTTATATACTATGTCATGAGATGAGCTGGCTGAAGATGAGACAGAGGTAGGTACAAGAAAGGACAGGGGAAGAGCTGTAGAAGAGCTGAGAGAGACCTCTGTATTTGGAATAAAGTGATCAACCTTAACTCGGTGAATGCTATTACCTGGGGAGATTGCTACAGATTGGGATGTTGTTAATGCCAAAGAACTGAGTTCTTCTAAGTCACAAAGAAAACTGTCTGGAAATGGTGGAGGAGGTAAGGTGCACGCGCTTGAAGGTGACAAACCAACAGTTCTTGAAAAGCGGTCACTAGTGGCAGCCTGGAGAATCTTTTGATCAATGTGAGACCAAGAGGAGGAAAGGTGTCTGGAAAGTGGGGACAGCACTTGGGAAGGCAACTTCAAAAACAGAAAAACATGGGAATTTAAATAAATAAATAAGCATGAAAGAGAACTAGGATATGAGTAGACTGGACAAGAGAAACGTCTGTGCCATCATCTGGATTATAGGGTATCATTGCAGTGAGCACGGGTGTCTGAAATCATTACTACATGAATCAGAACAGCAGGAAAGACATTTGAAACATGAAGCTGTATCAGGTTCTGGCTTGGGGCTTAAATGTCAAACATTAAGACAGATCTGAATAATTACATTCATGAAGGAGACCTGCATTTGATCTGCTAAAGTTACGTTACTTACGGCGCTCTGATAGTGAGCCTGTCACAGGGTATTAAATCATACAATTAATATTCATGTAATTTTCCCCAAACCATTACTGTTATTTTGAGAACAGCATTTTCAGAAGTACACTTCAGGTGTCGCTAAGTATTTCTTTTAAACTATAACAACTGAGGTCATTTCTAATTATTGTAACGTTAATACCTCTACTTTTTCTTAGTATTTCTGAAGAAATGTTTAAGAAACATCTTTAATACATTGCATACTTTTATTAAGGCATGAGCAGCTACAGAATGCATTTTTCTTCAAAAATAACCTTATTAGTTCAAAATGACACCAACATTTGTGAAAGGCAGGCAGTCAACAATGCTTTTAAAATAGTGAGAGCACAGTACACAGCAGTGTATTTTGAGTACCGTTACACAACATTGATTGAAGTATCCTTCTGGTAAAAGAAACGTCCTTTTGTAAGAATGAGAGACTGGTGAGTCATACGTACACAGCATCAGTAGATATCCATTGCTTCAGTAAATACTGAAAATGTATTTTTGTTACTAGGAGTCCTCAAAATTAAAACTGAATGAAAAATATTTTGATCTCATTGCTAGAATTATCCAGAATAATTAGATGCACATCTCTTTAAGTTATCTGGACTACTTTAGACTTTAAATATTACTCCAGAAGAGTAAAATAGTTTCAAAAGGCTAAATTAATGTCGCAGAATAGGAAGGTTAATTTACTTACCTTCTGCGTGAGTTTTCTTGAGGAAAATAGCTGTATTTTATAGTTAGACAAACCCTTGTTACACAGCCTTCTGTAGCAAAGTAAACCGTATAGACTGATACAACGCAGTCTGCTAAAACAGAGCTGGGCTGTTACAAGCAATACTCAATCTCTTCCCCTCATCTTTCCTCTTGAAGATAGGCTTATAACCTGTGGTTTTAAGATTAATAATAATATTGCCGAGGAGATATTGCCATTTTTAGGTTCCAGTGGCTACAGGCTGCACTAGAGCTAAAGGTATCGATGGTCTAGGCCAAATTAAGGAGAGTAAAGCTTTCTCCCGACTTCTGTTGCTTATTTATTTCTATTGCCATTAGGCCAGAGAAGTTGAGCGCAATTGTTCTAGCAACAGGGAGTGATTCGTGCTAAAAAGCTCCAAAGGAAGAGGAAAAGTGGTATCAGCAATTGTGGTAAACCCCAGAACACCTTCATGACTGCTAAAGTCCTTCTAGGTAGTCAGGAACAAGATGTCTTCTTAAATGGTATTGCCATTTCTGAGTGCAGTTGAATTCAAAAACAAGATGTCTGTTCAAGAGTGTCAGTAGAGGCTTGGGGTTTTTTTTGACTTATGCTAGAACCAGATGATTGCAAACGTTTTCTGTGTTACAAAGGCTTCTTCCACTTCCCTCCCCTACAGAAGTAATTTAGTAATAACTAGCTTAATAGTGGCAGGACAGTTTTGTAATCTGAATGTAAATGCTCTGAAGCGTCACCTATGCCCAGCAAGGGTTACAGGGGTCACACAAACACCAGCTTTAGCCTCAGGATGCCTTAGAGACAAACCTCCCCCATAGAAAACGGGGGAGAGAGGCATCTCCAAATACAGAGAGACAGCTCCATAACATGGAGTGTGTAAGTTGCCTCATACTCTTGACTCGCCTTCAGGAACCTCTGGATTCCTGTAATAATAAGAGGTCTTATTGTATGAATACCTCAGTCTGCAGCTATGGAATTTGATGCCACTTCAGTTCAACAGTTCTGCTGGAATGGAAGAGAGAGGAGGTAGTTCTCTGTTGTGACACCTTCTGGAAAACCAGCCAAGACCTGTTCTAGCAACTATCCCAAACCAGCTAATACTGTTTAGTTGTAAGCAGTATTTTCAGAGGCCACCGTTGTCTATAAGTGACATCTTTTGGTAGCTGTCCTCAAAGCTGCAAATAAACGTGGAACTTATCTCGAAGTTGAAGCATCTAAATGAGCACGAGTATGCGAGTATATGAAAGTAGAAAAGAGGGCAAACCCAACAGAAACAAATAAGAGTAATCTCTAGCAGGATAAGAAGTTTATAATTACACACAAAACCCACCACCCATGCTGAAGAGATAAACAACAAAGGTAAAGAGGAAGATTTAGAAAAGTTTCCATCTTGAGTGTTCAAAATCATCGATAATACGTTAATGGTAATCACAGTTTGCAGGCAGAAACTTTCTTGGCTTCTATCATTGCCAAAGGGGTTACGTTCCCCGCACAGGTGACTGTGAAATCTCAGGAGTGAATGATAAACTGGAATACAGGAATCTTTCTGCACCATCGTCTAGTATGATTTGTGGTGGTTATATAGACTAGGAAGCGAAAGAATTCAGAACCTACAACAGACAATTGTTGTGAAAAATTCCAACTCTAAAGGTCTGGATCCAAGCTCACCGACAATGCAATGCCATTTGCCTCACTACTAAATGAAACAATACTGTCACTGTTGTCATACCCCTCGAAAGAACCTATCATACCACCAGCCTCCTTACAGAGAGTGAATGGCAAAAGGAGGAGGGTTATAGTAGAGGATCATTCCTTAGCTGTTCTCCTTTACTTTGAAAGTCACAGAAGTGGTCTTGGCAAGCTGTGTCCCCAGACAAACTGCCTCTCTTGCCCTTTGCGTGCTTATGGGCCTGAAGGCTTTTAGGACAGCGGTTAACGGGAATGTCTTCACACCGCACTATGAAAAGTCTGACAGACACATCCTTAATGCTCAAAGTCTAAGATTCTCAAATAAATTTTGTTCTGTCAGCTTGATTTTTCTGCCCAAATTTTCCCTGGCCCTACTCTCAATAATGTAATTAGCTAATGAAGAAAAGAGCAAAAATCCTGGCAGAATGTAAGACAAACACTCGACTATTAAAATACTTTAAAAACAAGTTAGTAATGCAATTTTACCTACGTAGGAAAGAAAATGTTGCGTACTTAATGCATAAATTATGTATTATCTTACGTTAGCCAAAAAAAAATTACAAGTCCTAAACCCACTCTCTGGGTGATCGCAAAGAAAAAAAAATCCTTACCTTAGTTGAACTTAAATGGTGTATTCTGTCACTAGAATAGCTTTGGGGTATCGGAGGATCAGGGTAGTCATCAAGACTTTTTGATGCATTCTTTTTGATGACTTCTACATAGGAAACAGGGAAGATGCCTTGTCTGTTGGTTCCTGGTATTTTACCTTCATACCAGTTTTGATCAACTCGCTTAAGAAGAATTACTCTGTCTCCCTGAAATGCGTTATGAAAAAGAGTTATCAGCAGATACATTGCAAGTTAATTTTCTGAATAGCAGATATTATTTCAACACACAGTATTATTTTCCCTGCAGTGCTGTTTCCCATCAATCTTGAGAATCGTCTCCATTTTGACATTTCTCCTCCCATTTACAATAACCGCATCTACAAGTACCATTCCAGCCAAACAGGGGGCTAGTCACGGACTGCAAATGCTAATCTTTTATCAGAAGGGAATCTCGTGTAGTCTCCTACTCTTGGTTGGGGGATTAACATTTCAACTTTTCTTTGGAACATAACCTGTTTTAATTGTTGGCCAAAGTACTAGCTAACAGCCTAACTGTGATACGCAATAGTGACTGCTATGCCCATTTTTCCTTAAAAGCGATAAAAGTTAAACAATGACATCCACGCAAGTGCTTTGTTATCAGTAAAACTGGAGTAAGCGGAGGTAGAAAGTGAAAACATGAGTTCATGGGAAAGATGAGAGAAAGAAGTGCTTTTCCTGTGTAAAAAAGATGGGCAGTTGCTCACTTGCTGCTTTTAGAGAGCTTAGCAGCTGAAATCGAAAATATCAACTTTCTATTCAAACTTCACGAGCTACCCCCTCCATTGTTTTACATGATGTGCTTTTTACCACCTGTCTTTTTGTAACAAATCCTTCCCTATTAGTTTCACATTCTCCTGGGTTTCTGTAATTTTGTTTTGATAGTTGATTTGTGGAGTACCCTAAAATTATATTTAGTGGGATGGAACAGAAGAAAACCAGGGCAAGTTAACTTTTAAAAACAAACCCAAACTGGTCTGTTGAGATTATGACCACCACAATAAGCACAAAAGAGAATTTTAAAAAGAAATAAATCATCCAACTACCCCCAACCCTTAGTTCTCTAAGTTCCTATTCCTGATTTTCTTTTAGACCTCTTTGATGTTTACCAATCTCAAATGAGTGGAAAAATGCCCATTATCTTCAGTGATCCTGGATGAAGCTTTAGGTCAGCATCAAAAAACTGTATCCTTACTCTTATTTACAAAAAAACCCCAAACCACTGAATAACTTCTATGAACTCTAATTCTTAAAAAAAAAGTAAGAGAGAGAACTACTTTCCAGGGGAAAAAAAAGTATATACTACTTACAACTAACTATATAATACCTGCAATAATAATGTTTCTCTACAGGGGTAACATTCCAGTGTCTCACAAACCTCAGAAATTAAACATTTCTTTTGCTCATATGCAATAAAGTATAACCACCAGGATGTGCATAGAAAAGATAGGAGACTATTATAAAAAGCAGATTGTTATTAAATGAAATATTTGGAAGAACTGCTACATTCACAAAAATATCTCGGAGCTTTTTTCCCTCTGTTTTCTATTCTCTGTATCCTTCTCTTTCTTCTGTATTAAACCCCTTACCGCGATAGTTGTGACATCAAGAAATAATTCTTTAAAAAAGCAATGGATAATTGAAGTCAAAACTAGAAATTTAGGTGGGCAGTTAGCCGTTGTTTGCATATGCTAATTTCCCGCAATCCAGCTTACATGCACAACACATTTCAACTATTTGTCGGTAGCTGAGAAAGACTGCAAGCCAACAAGCGGTTATGTTAGGAGTTTCCTACCATTGCATTGCTTTCTGCATCGCAAATAGTGAATGCAGAGTGCGCCAAAGCACGGTATTAATTAGCACTAGACATTAATTCTGTGCAGCAGTAGACTCTGTAATGGTATTTTGATAAAGATAAACTGTACCTTTCTGAGTGATAACTCCACATTTGTGTCTGCACTGAAGTTATATTTGGCAAGAGCTTCTCCAATCTCTCCGATCTGTGCAGGGGGAGGTGGCCTGGCAGGCTGTGCTTTTTCTGGGGGAGAAAGTTTCTAAGGGAAATAAAAAAAACCTCAGATTTTCATCGTTCCCATGCAGTCCGCAGACCTATTACACAAACTAATTCAAGGAATTAAAACAGAGGACAAACCTCGACATAGGAAATTGGGAATATTCCAACTCTTCCATGGTGCTCACCCTCATACCAGTTTTGATCGATTTTCCTGAGGATATAGACAGTATCTCCTTTCTTAAAGGACAGCTCTCTGGAACAAATTTATTTAGATCAGATGTTTACAGCTTTACATTTAACTCTTCTAACTGCATAGTTTCTGAGATCTTTACAGTTCGGAAGTGAAACAGAATGTAGCAACCAAACATTTGATGAAAAGTGTGACAGCTGTGGTACATTTACCAGTTGATTATACCATATAAAATAAAACAATTCACATTTATGAATCCCAGGTCCTATCTGTAAATGATATAGGCTGTTTTACGCTGTGATTCCAAGGCACTATTGCTAGTTATTACCAGAGCACTTAGTATAGGGTCTGCATAAAAGTATGATGTCTTCTGGATCACCTGTTTAGGTGATGATTTTATGACAGACATCTCAGGGGCATTTGACAGTATTTTAAGCACTGTACCTTGTGTAACCTAAATACAATTCACTACAAACAAAGAGCGTTCTGTGGGTGACCCTCAGGACCTGTGCTCTAGAAGGCTGAAGATGCACAGCCATTCATGCGTTCAAACAAATGCAATGGAGAATATAACAATTTAAGACATTTTTATTACAAAATAACTTCTCACGCAGTTTGCTAACGCAGAGACTACCGTGACAGCAATCAGGGTCCTCTGCTTCCATGGCGTTTGCTTTTGAAACTGGCTAGAACAGCAGTTAGCTGCCATAAGCGTTAGAAAGAGGTTTTTTTGAATTATGAATTCTTAAATGAATAAAAGTCTGGTACTTACTTAGAAGTCTGAGCTTTAAAGTCATATACAGCTCTAGCTGGCAGTTTCTGAAAAACAGGCAAAGGGATTAATACGTTCAGGTAGTATTACTACATATGGTCACAGAATCACAGAATGGTCAGGGTTGGAAGGGACCTCTGGAGATCATCTAGTCCAACCCTCCTGCCAGAGCAGGGTCACCTACAGCACGTTGCACAGGACAGCGTCCAGGCGGGTTTTGAATGTCTCCAGAGTGGGAGACTCCACCACCTCTCTGGGCAGCCTGTGCCAGTGCTCCACTACCCTCAAAGTAAAGAAGTTCCTTCTCATGTTAAGATGGAACTTCCTACGTTCAAGTTTATGCCCATTACCCCTCGTCCTATCACTGGGCGCCACTGAAAAAAGACTGCTCCCATCACCCTGGCACCCCCTCTTTAAGTATTTGTAGGTATTAATAAGATCCCCCCTCAGTCTTCTTTTCTCTAGACTAAAGAGACCCAAGTCCCTCAGCCTTTCTCCATATGAGAGATGTTCCAATCCCCTAATCATCTTCGTTGCCCTTTGCTGGACCCTCTCCAGCAGTTCCCTGTCCTTCTTGATCTGGGGAGCCCAGAACTGGACACAGTACTCCAGATGCAGCCTCACCAGGGCAGAGTAGAGGGGGAGGATGACCTCCCTCGACCTGCTGGCCACACTCTTCTTGATGCACCCCAGGATGCCATTCGCCTTCTTGGCCGCCAGGGCACATTGCTGGCTCATGGTCATCCTGTTGTCCACCAGGACTCCCAGGTCCCTCTCCACAGAGCTGCTCTCCAGGAGGTCAGCCCCCAACCTGTCCTGGTGCATGGGGTTATTCCTCCCCAGATGCAGTACCCTACACTTACCCTTGTTGAATTTCATCAGGTTTCTCTCTGCCCAACTCTCCAGCCTGTCCAGGTCTCGCTGTATGGCGGCACAGCCTTCTGGCGTGTCAGCCACTCCTCCCAGGTTTGTGTCATCAGCAAACTTGCTGATGGTACACTCTATCCCTTCATCCAGATCATTGATGAATATGTATGGTCAACGTGTTTCAGCTTTTAAAAAGATGACCAGGATCCAAAAAGAAAAGGACATGTGCCTTACAGGGGTTCTTTTAGTAATAGTCAATTAAATACACAGCTTCCTTTTTTAAGGCAGTTAGGTGTTTGGGATTTAGTGTTTTAAAAATAGAAATAGCAGCTAAATTTTAATACAGACTAGTTTGCAATTTTATGTTTACAAGAACTACAAAAGTAAACAAAAAAGTTAACTAAATGCCAGTTTGACTTATAGGCAACTAGATGTGTAGGCACAGTGGAAATTCACATGCTTAATATTCTCTAATACTTTGACTGCATCTGTTAAACTTGTTATTTTTAGGCTAATTTCAGCTGCAAATACCGCATCACATTTTATATATGTATATAGAAAGGAAAAACTACTCTGAGAGCTGGAAAAGGTTGGGAGTATTTTAAATTTCTATAATCATATTCAGAGTTTTAAGAAAAACTGAGAAACACTGGAGGACTGGAAGTGATCTCCCGAATCATCCGTGTAGCTCTCTTGCTATCATAGGCAATCACATCATATTGTTCCTTTCTTGTATTTATCATGTTCCACCACCAAGTATCTGTAAGCTCAAGATTGTTAGAAAAATCAAACTGTAAACCATCCCTACCTCTGCTCACCTGTGTGGCTGGCACCTATACTGTCACTGTTTTCAAAGCTGTGCTGAAAACACGAACTGTGATCTGACCCGAGAGCCTCACTCATCTCCTGTCTGCCCCGGATGGACAACCAGCGCTAGGTGCTTCAGAGGAAGGTGCAAGAAGTGATTAGCAGTTTCATGTGAGGATATTTGTTAAAGCCATTTAGACTTTCTCGGCAAGTACTTGCGCAGATGAGATTGCCACATTTTAAAAAAAATCTCTCTCTAGGATACACTGGTGACAAGAATGAGCTGATTACGCTACTTCCGAGAGGTGCTGTTTGTGATGGTGTCAGGGTGTGTCTTTTTATAAAAGGAATAAAAAGGGACACTTGTAACTTTTGTGTTTTACCTTTCTTCCAGGCCAGATGTTCTCAACTGGGTTCTCTCTCTTCTTGTCATCTAAAGGCTAGTAAATTTAGCATACCTACAGCACTGTCTTTGCTATAATAAAAAAGTCCCCAAAGTTATTACAGGGATTCTGTCAACTTGCATTTTGCCATACTAATGCAATTTTCCATTACAGGTCTTGAAATAAGATGGCCTAAATATAAAAGCATTTTTTCTGTTCTCTGAAACAGTCTTTTAGATAGGAGGGGAGATCTATATCATCAACCGTAGCTAAGACCTTTTCACTCTTTC